GTTCAGAGGAACTCGACGAGTTCATGAGCAGTACTCGGCGAGTTGAGTCAACATGGACTGTTGACTTGAGTGTTGACTTTCGTTGACTTTTAGAGTTAGATCAGTATTGAGTGTTGACTTCCGTTGATTTTAGGGTTTTGGTCATCTATGGATTTTGGAGGCCATGGAGGGGCGGATTAGACTAGCAGCTCGAGTGTGGGATACATAGCATTACTCTGCAAGGTGAGTCTTCTCACTATACCTACCTGAGTGGTAATTTATGTGTGACCGGAGGGTCTTTACTGAGATATAGGACCGGAGGGTCCAACCTGAGTTGTGAGATCGGAGGGTCCTCACTATTGACCAGAGGGTCTTATTACATTATCGACCAGAGGGTCCTATTTGTTTATACTGTGATATGTGCTATCATGCATACTGTCTTTGTGACTTATGCTGCTATATTATCCTGTGTATGTGTATTCTTATGAGCTTATACTGAGATATGTGCTATTATGCATTCTGTTTTTATGACTTATGCTATCATCTTATTCAGTGTATATATTGGGTTATGACCAGAGTGTCCTATGTGCTTATATTGAGTTAGGTAATATTGTGCATGTTGCCCTTGTGATTTATGATGTATATTATCCTGTGCATTATTGAGATAGGACCAGAGGGTCTAACCCGAGCTGTGAGACCGGAGGGTCTTCACTGAGACACGTGACCGAAGGGTCCATGCTGAGCTATAGCCATTAGAGGCTTAATATTATGGTATTTTAGGGAAATCACTAAACTTCGTGCTTACAGTGTTGTGTGATATGTGTTTCAGGTACTTCTGTAGATCTCAGGAAGGCGAAGGCTCGATTGTACACATTTGTTGGCTTATAGAGATTTGAGGATTTTGGGATACTCTGATGTTGTCTTGAAAATAAATTACAATTTATGTGATGATATGGATTTATGAGTATTATTTTGAGAATTTAAAAATGAAAAATTTGTTCGAAAAATTATAATGTTACACTTCACCTTCCACTTCTGTTCCAAGTTTAGTAGAAAATCAGGAGTCTTCCTCGTCTGATGAGCCCGATGTTGTTGAAGAGTCAACATCTTCATGACCACGATCTACTACTACATGTATTGTAAGAGATAGACCGAGAAGAGAAGTTGTACCTCCAAAGAGGTATGCTGAAGCTGATTTTGTTGCTTATGCCTTTATTGTTGCTGATGATATTAAGTCTGGAATGGAGCTTGTGAATTATGATGAGGTTGTTAAGTCTAAAGACTTAAGTGATTGGATGATTGTAATGCAAAGTGAGATAGAGTCCTTGCAAAGAAATGGTACTTGGGATTTCGTTCCTATTCTGAAAGTCAAAAGACCAGTTAAATGCAAGTCGGTCTATAAGCTCAAGGAACCTGTCAACCCGGATGAGAAACCAAGGTACAAAGCTCGGTTAGTAGCTAAAGGCTATAGTCAGATTCCTAGTATTGATTGCACTGACATTTATTCCCCAGTTGTTAAACATACTTCTATCTGTGTATTGTTGGGATTGTTGCTTTTAATGATTATGAATTAGAGCAACTTGATGTTACTACAACTTTATTAAATGGTGTGCTTGAGGAAGAGATTTTTATGCAACAACCTAAGGGTTTTGTATTTCCTGGCAAAGAGGACTACATGAGCAAATTGAATAAATTTCTTTATGGCCTCAAGCAGTCTCCTAGACAATGGTATAAGAGGTTTGATTCTTTTATGACCAGTCACAAATTTAAGAGGTTCGCCTGTGAAATTTGTGTTTATTACAAAAATAATGATGGTGGTTCGATGATCTACTTACTCTTATACGTGGATGACATGTTGATCGCAGCGAAAGATATGAAGAAGAAAGACCAGTTGAAAGCTGACCTTGAAATGAAGGACTTAGGAGCTGCCAAAAAGATTTTAGGTATGGAAATTGTTCGTGACAAGAAGTCTAGGATCTTGCATCTTTCTCAGAAAAATTACATTGAGAAAGTCCTAAGACGCTTCAATATGCTTGAAGCAAAACCTATCAACACACCTTTTGCAGCTCATTTCAAGTTATCATCCCATTTGAGTCCTACTACTGAGACTGATATGGCTTATATGGTACGTGGACCATACTCTAGTGTTGTCGGATCCTTGATGTATTCTATGTTTTGCACCATAAAACTATTAATCCTGCCCTAAACTCAAACTAGCATAATAAGAGGTCAAGGTAAGAACTTTTTACCTCCTGAATCTTCCCAAGAGAGTGAAGATTCTTGATCTAAAACCCCAAGGCTACACCAAGCTTGATCACCAAGATCCGCCTCCTTGAAATAACACTAAGGACCTTTAAAATCACCTCCAAGCTCAAGAAAGCACCACCAAAGGATATTAGGGTTCGAAATGAGGCTCAAAGACAAAGGAGGCTGAGAAATGAAAGAGCCTTGAGCTCATAAGGATGTTTAAATAGTGCCCAAACCCTAAAAATTGGGGTTTGGCACTCTGCTCATTACGCTGGGCGTACCCCCAGCTTACGTTGCGCTTACTCACCCCAGACACGTGCCCTCCTCCATGCACGCGTGGGACTTAACTAGTAACCCTTTTCCATTAAGGGCCAAATCTGACAAATATTTCAAATTTCCATAACTTCCTCATCTTAGGTCTGTTTCCAACGAACCTTATATCCACGGAAAAGTGACGAGAAGCCCTACGCTTCTAATGATACACCATAGCCTTAAAACTTCCTGAACAAAACCCAAAATCCTTAAAAGACCGAGCCAACGCCTTTACTGATACCCTTGGGCTCTAAAGCACAACCCAAACTCTTTTATCACACAACCTGCCTTATCCATATCCAAAACGGCCTAAACCTTTCTCCTTTATAGCCTCAAAAACTTCTCATACCCGGATCACGTCCTACGAGCCTTAAATCACAGAACGATCCGAAACAGGATGTTACATGTTCTACTGCTTTGTGTTGTAGCCAAGAAACCTTGGAGCATTCCAGATATGAGCTGAGGCCCGGGTAGGGCAAGCCAGACTCATATTGAGGGCTCAGTAGCATTTGAGATATGAGCTGAGGGTCGGGTAAGGCAAGCCAGACTCATATTGAGGGCTCAGTAGCATTCCAGATACGAGCTGAGGACCGGGTGGTATGCAAGACTCGTAGTGAGGGCTAAACATTGGTATTCCAGTCCGATGACTGAGGTAGTACGCCAACCATAAACTGTGGGCCCCGAGGGCAAGCCAGACTTATGTTGTGGGCTCGGGAGCAAGCCAGATATGAGTTGTGGGCCTGATAGGCAAGCCAAATTCATACTGTGGGCTCAGGGGTAATCCAGTCTTTTAGCTGTGGACCCATTGCATGCTGTTATTTGTATATGTTATCTGTTTCTGTGATGGTACTTTGGGGGAACTCACTAAGCTTTGTTCTTACAGTTTTGGTTTATGGGTTCAGGTACTTCAGAAAATCATAGCAAGGCGAAGGCGTGACCGTACATATCTTGATTTTATGTCATTGATATTGGGAGACACTGATTTTTAAATAATGTTTTGGAAACACTAATGTTGTAAACATTTTTATCAGTAAAAGGGCCGTTTTGTAAAGTTTAAAATTGTTGAAATTTTTGGGATGTTACAATTCAATTTTTTGCGAAAATGATTAGATTAAATTTGAGACCGTAAGAAATTAGGCTTCAATAATGATGCCCACAAGACCGTTCATCGTACGGTTTATGACTCACTAATTGAAGATCGCGACCCCATCGTCATTTTGTTAAACTTATAAAAAAACGATATTTCGTTTGATTTCTACAATAGATTTGGTGATTTTTCAAATTACATAAGATTTAAGATTGTACAAAGTTTCGAGAATTTCAGATTTTTGCGAAAATGATTAGGTTATATTTGATGATCATTCAACATCCAAAATTATTCACAAACAAACCCCATCATCATTTTGGTAAACTTAAAAAAACAATTCATATTTCGTTTAATTGCTTTTTAATAAATCTAGTGATTTTTATAAGACAAAACTGCAAAAATGGTCCCTGTGGTATGCATATTTTCTGAGGTTTGGTCCAAACCTCGACTTTTTTGGATTGACGGTCCTTTTGCGCTACTTTGTTTGTGGTTTTGGTCCCTCGTAAAATTAAAAAGTCAAAAATACCATTCTGATACATTTTCTATGTTTTTTTCTATTTAATATAAAGTTTTATTAATAAAAATTATGGGACCTCTCTCTCTCTCTCTCTCTCTCCTAGGTTGTCTTCTCCATACATCCCCAAATCAACACAAGAAAATTGATTTCTCCATTAATTCAACGGTGAGAGCTCTGCGTTTGTTTCCGTTCTCGTCCCAAATCACCACAAGAAAACCTATTGTAGAAGCGATTTGGTGTAAAGGTTCTGTTCTCGGATCTTAATTCCTAAAAGAATAACGTGTTGGTTCTTTTCCCTCGATGACCGATGGTAATGTCCCCGAGAACGAGAGACATTTTTTGGCTAATGGAAGTTGAGATTGTTGTGGAAACGATACCTTTGTAAAAAGTCGAGTTGAAAATTGAATTCAGTCAAATTGAACAAAGCATTACAGAGAAGAAGAGAGGTTACGATTGTTAGTGTCGATTGATCGTGGGGTGAACAAAGGCAGTAAAGGGAAAGAAAAAAACCCAACCGCTCCCATCACCTTCTTTGTCTGTTTCAATCTTGCATAATCCCGGAATCAAATCGAACGAACCAGTGGAGCATAGAAAATCTTTAACAACCGATTAATTTTGATGAATGTGCAGATTTTGCTCTTTTTTCTGATTACGATCTAATAAGCTTCAAAAAGGCAAGTAAAAAGGAGAATTGGATGCTTGCAATTGATGAAGAGATGAAAGCCATACTGAAACCTGTGTGATAAAACCCAATTCTAGGAAACACAACCTATTTGTTTCACTTTTGATTGGGGAATAACATACAGAGATCGATCCGGCTTCTTTGTACATACTTTATACAGGTAATCGACCTTCTTTATGGAACTGAGGGATGATTCAGGAATGCAGGCTGGTGGGTTTTATGAGAGATAATCATGAACAAGCTGGTGGCGGAATAATGAAGTGGAAGAGAAGATAGATTGAGGTCTAGGATTGAAGAAGAGGATGGTGGTCGATTTTGAGTTCTGGGTATTAAAACCTATGAGAGAGAGAGAGAGAGAGAGAGAGAGAGAGAGAGAGACTATCTTTATTTAATATATATAAAAATACTTATAAAAAAAGAAAATGGAAAATAAATCTAATAAGGGCAATTTAGTCATTTCAATTTTACGAGGGACCAAATCTACGTACAAACATGGTCAAAAGGACTACAAAGCCAAAAAAGTCGGTGTTTAGACCAAAACCCCAAAAAAATAGATACCACATGGACTATTTTTGCAATTTTGTCTTCTTACAATAATCCAAAATATTATAATTACTATGTTTGCTATTCACAAACATTGTAAATGATAAATTGTAAACGAATAAATATCAATTGTTACAGAAAAGAAATAAAATAAAAATCAAAAGAAGCAAAACCCTGATAAGGCAAGGAAACCACTTACGTAGTTATATTCTCCTTGTTCCAGTGCGTTGACTAGCTGCTTCCCTGCTGACTTAAACAGTTTCTTGGAATTTACCATTAGTTTTCTTTGAATTCTCTTTAACACCGTCGATTCGTAAGGCAAAGGAGAACCACAACATCTCCTTTTTTCTGGCAATCTCCCTTCCTCCCTCGTTCACTCGCCGACAAACCTCTGTAATTTCCAGTCGTCATCTTTCTCAGCTCGTCACTTATGGTTCATCCTCTATAATCGCTGCCAGGTCCCCTTGTCTTCCTGTTGCAGGTAACTATGAACGACACTCTTACAACTTAGTTTCACATGTTGTTTGACAATTTCATCTTATTAATCATAATCATTTGTTTATTTCGTTAACAGATTATTGAATTTTGTCGATTTCAGTTACTGTTGTTCATTTACTTCTTAGACTTCGAAATTGAATCCTTAGAAAGGACAGGACTTTTTAGTTTCAATAACATTTCATTTCGAACAAGCCCATGAATGAATGTCGAAATGCTTTAAATTTATGCTGATACTAGATCCGGTGATAGAGAATTTCAAAGTTGAAAAGATTTTTCGTTCCTTTCTTTATTTAGATCTTTTAATTGTTTGTTGATATCTAGTGTAAGCTTGAAGTTTCCTTTATGCATTGCAATTTCCCTTGTGCGGAGTAATAGTAATATTGTAGTTGTTTACAAAATGGTATTTGGTGTTAATTTGTTTAAGTGAACTTCAATTGGATTCTATCTACAAAATAGTAGGGATGTTTATGTGAGTTAAATCAAATTGAAATTAAGGGTTAAAACACTCATATACATATTACACACTCACTCTATATAGCTCCAAAATCAACTCCAAACTTAATGTTTGGAAATAAAAAGTGAAATATTAACACAGTTAGAGTTCATACCTGCTATTCTAATTATTTAAAAGTTTCTTTTTGAAGAATTCAAGGGTATTATTATCATTGAGTTTAAAACTGTTTGATGAGGTTTAAGTTGCATATAGTAGATATTAATATTTTGGATTTTATGTAGAGGCATTATGTACTAAATCCTGACATTGAAGCACAAGTGAGGAAAGCCGGTGAAACCAACTTACATTATCGATAACCTGTGGAGGAGTTTCAGAGCTTACTTAGGTACACCTGCATTTAAGGAGAACCTTTAAATAAATACTCAAAATCGTGGGAAGGGTGAAGAGTCATCAACACACAACGCATAATGGTTGTTCTATCTGAACTTCCAGAAGGATCTTCATCTTCTTCATCAACTCATGTTCATAATTCATCAACTCAGGATCATAGATATGATGTATTTTTAAGTTTTAGAGGTGTTGACACTCGTCTTAGTTTTACTAATTATCTTTATGAGGCCCTTATAGATGCCAATATCACTACCTTCTTGGATGATGAAGAGATTGAAACAGGGGAAGATCTAAAACCAGAATTAGATAGTGCAATTAAGGCATCTCGGGCTTCTATTATTGTGTTGTCTAAGAACTACGCTTCTTCAACATGGTGTCTGGATGAATTGGTGTTGATCCTTGAGCAGCGTATGACATCCAACCACATTGTCATCCCGATATTTTATCATGTGGAGCCCACCCATGTCAGGAAGCAACAGAGTAGCTTTGGAGATGCAATGGCTAAGCATAAACAGAAGATGGGGAGGGAGACAAATGCAAATAAGAGAAGTCAATGGGCTCAAAAGATGGATAGGTGGAATAAAGCACTTACAGAAGTTGCTGATTTAAAAGGGAAGGACGTTACTGGCAGGTAACCACATATTCCCCCATATGAAAATTTTCAATATCATCTTCACCATATGCATTTCAGCAAGGTTTTTTTTTTTTTTAATATCATTGAATAGACATATATTGATATGGTAGGATAACAAAGATGCACAAAGTTGAATCCATGTTATCTGATCTCATTAATCAAATTATATAGATAGATTAATTATTTTGATAATTTTTACATGTTTGTTATGCATTTATTTATTTATTTTAAACAGCTCTTAATCTAATCCTAAACCACACCAATGTCTCGAGCGAGACTTGAACCCTCAACCCCTTGGACGAGGAACACGTTTTCCAGCTCCTGATACTGCTAGGTGATAAGCCCTTTGGTTTATGCATATTGTATTTAAAATAGGAAGACACAACAATTAGAAAAGAAGAGATCATGCCACATCATATATTAGCGGTTGTAGGTTAACTAGCTGCATTATTTGGTCCTTATTTAAAATGTCATTGTATATTTTGTATAAATATAACATTGTTGCATAAACAGGTAAAAAGGCGAAATGTTGTTGCATAAATAACCAATTAACCCTTTTGTTAAAAACCAGATACGTTGCTGTACATCTACTATTAGTTATACCATACTACCTTCAAATCATAGCGTCTTTTATGATAAATAACTTCTGTTGTAAGTAGTAACGGATAACCTACAGGCATTCTTTTGAGACTCACCACATTGCTAGTTGAGTTTTACGGTCTTGTAGAAACATAGTCAAGTTACAAGGCCCATTAGTGAAAACTTGTATTACATTGGTAGTTTTGGTCTTATTATATATAAATATTTATGACCTTACACATTAGATATGTATATGGTTAGAATGAAAAGACAATATGGTTTGATGAGAAGAACTTAATTAAAAGTTTAAAACTAATAGTTGTTGTGAAGGAATCAGATTTATGGAATATTATCTTGTCATTGATAAAGAGGTTAAACCCTCATTTATAAATCAACTAGTACCTAAAACAGGAAAATAGAAATAAAGTAACCTAAAAGCAAATAAACCCTACTTTACATATATCTAACACTAACACTCGTGATATAATTTTGATTTGGATCTATATACAAATAAAATCTCCAAATTTGTTTTGTTAGTTTTGTGGATTGTGTTTTGTAGTTCTTATTAAATCATGTTTCAGGCTAGAGACGGAGTTTATTGAAGAAATTGTGAAGGACATCCATTGTAGATTACATGCACAATTAAGAAGTGCTAAACCTCTATTTATTGGGATGGATTATCATATTAACTTTGTGACTTCATGGTTGAAAGATGGATCGTCACATAAGGCAGACATACTCACTATTTATGGTATAGGCGGGATCGGTAAGACATCTTTAGCCAAACATGTCTATGAGCTATATTGGCATGAATTCCACAAAAGCAGTTATATTGAAGATATCACTAGGAGATGTGATGGAAAGTATAACGGGCTGCTTGATATACAAAAACAACTGCGGTGACATTTCAAAAAAAGTTCAATTCAAGTTTATGATGTTTCAAAATACACATCAAAGATAGAGAATGCAATAGCTCGTAAAAGGGCGTTTCTTGTTCTTGATGATATCAATAGTATTGATCAATTGGATGCATTACTTGGAAGCAAAGGTTTTCATCCTGGAAGCAAGGTTATAATAACGACAAAGGACAGATGCTTGACAGAGAGTTGTGCACTATTCAAAACAAACATTAAACCCAAGCATGTAGAACACTTCCTTGAAGGCTTAGATGAGATTGAATCACGACAACTTTTGTGTTCCCATGCATTCATGTGTGACCATCCCAAGGAAGGTTATGAAGAGGTGTCAGGTAAGCTTTTGGAGTATTGTCAAGGACATCCATTGGCTCTTGAAGTTTTGGGCAAGTTTCTTCATAATCGAGGTGTGGCGTATTGGGAAGGGTGCATGAAAGGGCTAAAGAAAGAAACAAATGATCGTATAAATAATGTCTTGAGAATGAGCTTCGACTCTTTGCCTTCCAAAAACGATAAGGAATTGTTTAAGCATATTGCTTGTTTTTTTGTTGGAATAGATAGAGATCTTAGCGAAACAATATTGGAGGCATGTGATATAAACACAAGATCCGGAATTACGAATCTCATTGATAAATGTCTTCTTAGTATTGGACGGAATAATGAATTGAAGATGCATCAGTTGGTTCAAGAGATGGGAAGATTCGAAATAGATCAAGAATCACCTGATAAGCCATGGAAGCGGAGTCGATTATGGTGTCATAAGGAGTCATTCAAAGTCTTGAAACGAAAAAAGGTAAGAAGCCATTATGCTTTTAGTAGTGTGCATGTCCAAAATACTTTGTATTGCCTATTTTGTTTATTTGCATTCTGTTTCTTCTTAGGGTAAGGGAAATCTTCTGGGCCTTGCCCTTGACATGCGCATGCTTGAGAAAGAGAAGTTGGGAGCATCGTATGAGCTGAAAACAGATGCATTAAGTAACATGGATAATTTGATGCTACTACAACTCAATTATGTGTACATGAATGGGTCTTATGAGAACTTTCCAGAAGAAATAAAATGGTTGTGTATGAATGGGTTTCGTTTAAAGTCTATACCTTTAGACTTACCTATGCAGAATCTGGTTGCCCTTGACATGTCATATAGCAATATTGAATCATTTTCCGATTGGTATAGCAATCCACAACGACTTGAGAAAAGGCAAAAGGTAAAGTTATCTTCATTTATTAGTCATGCATGTGAGTTGATGAAATTCAATACGATACTAACTTATTTCCATTTTGTAGTTGGATGGCTCGTGCTTTAAAGAGAAAAGGTTGTTTGCTTCACTGAAGATTCTTAATTTAAGTTTCTGCGAACAACTTCATAGTGTTGGTGACTTTGACCAACTCCCTGCACTTGAGAGGTTAATACTTAGGAATTGCATTGGTTTGGTTGATGTTTGTGAATCAATTGGGCAATGTCTTGAACTTATCCTCATCGATCTGAGTTACTGCAAGAAGCTTGAAAAACTTCCAAGAAATATAGGCATGTTAGAGAAGGTTGAAACAATGTTGTTAGATGGTTGTAATCTTGGTGAATCTCGAATCAAGAATATGGATATGGATTCACTGGAAATGTGCACGGTTACCAACATTGGCATAAGCAGAGCCTTTGTGGGTTCTATACCATGTGATTTGAAGTCCTCTGCAATGTCTTTACCGAGGTCTTTAGTAACATTGTCACTCACAAAGAACAAGTTGTCCAATGAATCCTTTCCCTTGGACTTCAGTTGTCTATCCATGTTAAAGGAATTATATTTAGATGGCAATCCTTTCAATTCCATGCCTAGTTGTGTGAGAACCCTTCCTAGGCTTGAGATACTTAGTATGAAGGAGTGTAAAAATTTAAAGTTAGTCGAGTATCCTCCACGTACACTAAAAAAGTTGCTTGTTAATGTTGCTGATGATTATCATATAGACAAAGTTGTATTTGTTCCAGAAATGTCCCCACTCAAGTTATCAATAGTCCCGTTAGACTGGTTAGACCGGACATCTTCTTCACTTGGGTTGAACGGTTACGAAATTGAAGGTATGATCAAAATCCAAGAAATGATGACTGTTGATGAAAAGGTGTTACGTAGCTTGGGCTGGAGTAATTTAGACTTCCTCAACGAAAGGCATGTGGGAACTAATTCTTCAGAATCTGAAATCCAGGTTTTGTCTAGTTAACTTAACTGTCTGGGTTTATGTGAAGACATATAATGTTAATTATTATGGTGGTTTGTATTTGGCAGATGATGTTTTATGAATTTGGAATATTCAGCATGTTGTATGAGGCTGAGGAGATGCCGAGTTGGTTTATGCATAGAAGTGTGGGGCCAGTGATATCATTTACCATCCCATCATCTTCTCCAAACAACCTCCTTACAGGGCTCAACTTCTGCTCTCTGCACACATTAAACCTTTTTGATGAGGAGTTGGATTTATCAGATTATGATGTCTCTTTGTTTCCAATGATGACAATTAGTAATATAACAAAAAACCGTATGTGGATATACGAACGTTACGTGGACAGATTTAGTGAAACTCTGAATTGTAGGGTGATATTAAGTCATTGGATGTTTGGGAAGAATGAGATGAAGGCTGGTGACCACATTACTATCACCGTTACACCGCAGAGGCATGAACCTTTTATAGAAGTTGTAAAGGAGTGTGGGGTGAGTCTTGTGTATGAAGATGGAGAGAAGATGCGTTGGGTTATTACAAGTCATGGAATCACATAATTGGTGGAGATCTCTCTCCTTTTCAAACAACTACAGGACAATACATCCTAAGTATCTTCCGGTTTTTTGATTATGCTGTTAGAGTGTCTTCATATCATCGTGAATTCGTTCCAGACGGCCCCTACTTTCAAGGTAGATGTCATTTAATAAAATATTTTATTGTCATGTCTTATGTGTAATGGTTTGACCCATGAGCCAACTTCTTTAGAAAGATGGATAATGACCCATTTATTTTTAGTAGATAAATAAATGTAATCCACCCACCCATTTATCATTCATTTTATTGACCTCTACTATAAGAGTTTGTTCTTGTAAAATATAACAAATCAAATTTCCACGACAAATTTTTTCTTCTTGTAAAATATAACGTAAATTCGTTGCACACGGCCCTGACTGTCAAGGTAGATGTGATTTTAAATGAATAGACCCAAGTAGTGATCTGTCTGAATGGGTCTATGTTAACTAATTAAGTCTTGATACGTTGGATCACATAAATATATCAGGACCCAATACAAACTACTTTGTCCAAGTTGATGTTTGCGAATAATAATTAACACATAACTTTTTGTTTGTGTTCAGAACAAAAGGAAAAGTATTGGTTCAGAGCTTTATCCCCAGGGAAGGCTGAAATACTTGGTCGTGCATGTGAGGTATACTTTTTGACACCCAAACCTTTCTCTCATCACATGAATAAAGGGCATACAGATCCAAGTATGTTATATATCATTTCTTTGATTGGTTTAGGATGTAACAAGATAAAAGGAGTCATAATCTTGCAATCGATGCTTGGAAATGGTAATATCAAAATGTGGTTGGGCTGATATGATGGGAATTTGTCTAATTTTTTCTACCTATTTATGTTTGTTTTTATGTAAAATACGTGGCGGCGGCAGTGGTGGTGGTGAAAAAAAGTATCACATTAGGGTTATAACTTAGAAAACGTCTTCCAAAATCAGAAATTATTGTTTTTGTTTTCTGAAAAAAAAAAAGGTCAAAAAGACCTCTTTGTTTGTTTGTTGGCAAAAAGTTTTTTTTTTTCCTGAGAAATGAAGTCTTTTCCTCAAATGTTTTTTTTTCCTCCATAAGAGGTCAAAAAGACATTTTGCCAACAAAGAAACACCACCTTAGTCTTTGCCTTAACTCATTTAACTACATTTCTTTTGACTTTGAGTCGATTTCTCTACATGTTTAGAGGCAACATTTGGAGGATGGTTTTTAAGTTCATTAATAGAAATATTAAAATTGGAAAATTCAAATAATTGATCCTTTGATAAGTTTGTTTATATCCGATTAGCGACCCTAAGGAAGAATTTGGCTTGTTTATTAGAGTCCTCATCAGATGATGACTAGATCTCCACTCCTGCTGATATTTCTCCACCACATTTATTGTATTGCCATCTATCTGTTTTCATAGCATTTTGTATCAGATCTTTATATACTTATGTTTCTTTAAAGATATTCTTACGTTTCCTTTTATTCGTAGGGTAAGGGGGAATCTTCAGGGTCTCGTCCTTATCATGAAAATACTTGAGAAAGAGAGGCTGCAGTACATGGCTGTCTGAATACAAAATAGATGCATTTACTCAGTTGGGTAACCTAATACTACTATAACTCAATGAGTAACCTAATACTACGATTTATCTTTTCGGTTTTTGTTTTTGATAGCTATATATTTGATTGCCAAAAACAGAGGAAAACAATATAAATGGTTTTTTAGTTGATTAATACATGTGTAAGTTTGTAATGTTGTTTTTATTACTTTATATGTTTGTTATTTTGTTGATTGTGATTGAAAGAAAAGACTAAAATGTGACTGCTGAGTTGCTATGATTCTCCCGATTCAATGTTTTGCTGCTACTTGTTCATACAGATCTTATTTGAATCTCTATCTTTTTCATTGGTTATTTTAAGAATAGCTTTGTAATTTTTCATTCTTGAGAACCAAAATCAACAAAGATATCGATAATCTTCATGAGTTGTCTTCTCATGAAGTAAAATTATTGCAGAGGTTGTCATTTTTTATGTTACTTTGTGGGATATGCCTTTACATCAGCACCTTAACTGAACAAACCCATGACTTGCTTTTTGATTGATGTCCACTCATGTAATTGCTTTCTGTAAAAAATTCATTATAAAACAGAATATAATATCCTTATCTAAACATTGACATCACATTCAACTTTTCTTTTTCCTAAGACAACACACCTGTTGCACTAGTTCTGATTCTTTTCTCCTTTTATGATTTTGCATCTATTCATTTAGACATATTACCAACCGATGAATGAAGTGCCTAGAATCGATCAGAAGAAGCCTCATGTGGTATCTAGCATTCAACTTTTTGGCTTCCTTTCTTGACCTTTATAAACCACATGACTTGAAACTCCAGTCACATGTATTATTAATTTATTATTTCTGATGCTTTCATGACTTTCACCAAAATCCCGTTTGCTGCAGAGAAGTTTGGAGTCCACAACTCCACGTCATGATTTACTAGACACATGTTGCTTGTGGGTTCGTGGGGTTATTCCAAAAATAATAATAATAATAATGGAGAAAGGACTCGTCCCACTTAAAGTTAGATATATTTCTAGTCTTATCTACAAATCATTATGCTTCCCCTTTACACTTTTAATTAATCCATCTTGTAACGTTTTACAGATGAAAGATACTAAATACGAATCCTATGAACCAAAAAAAAAAACAAAATGTTCTCATAAAGACTCGTTTAATATTCGTAATGGTGAAAAACAGAGGAAGAGAACACGAGAGAGAGAGAGAGAGAGAGAGAGAGAGAGAGAGAGAGAAGAACAATGATGAAGATGAGAGGAAGGAGGGTGGGGTGTTGGGTTTATTTGCCTTTTTTTAAACTAAAGTTAGTTAAAAAAAGGTGAATGAAATTAAGAAGGGTATAAATGTAATTTTATACGAGTCACGGATCAAAGATGCAAGAAATTGAAGCCACACGGATCATTCGCATCAAAAAAAGGTTAGGGACTAAATCTGTGATTTTGGTAAACGACATGGACTATTTAATCAATTTTGTCTTCTTTTTCATGCAACGTTGTACTTTCATTATTCTCATTAAGGAATAGTATTTTGAAAGATCTACCTAATTAAATTATTGTACTTCCGGTTTTTCTTTTCTTATTAGGACGACATAATATTAAAAATAATCTCCAATAACAACAATGAAAATTGATTTGTATTCAGATGACAATAATTGGATAAATTTTCAATGTACAATGTTGCAATAGGAAGAAGCTGAATGCATAACGCTAGAATAAACAAATAAATAGCCTTAAAATGTTTGTAACAAACACTCAAACATGACTAGAGGCAATACAATTACAACCAGAACCCAAAACAACAAAGCTACTCAAATTTCTGAAGGGAGTATTATGAAGTGGTTTACTACTCTACTGATGTATATAACATATACAACGCTGACCATTTGTAATGTCAATCTCATAACAATCAAAATGACCCATACACCCATGTTGACTGTGGGACATGTTAGTGGTTGAGTGCTCAGGGGTGATATATATACCACACCTATCAATACTCACCTAAAAACCAACTAAATCCATGATACAAAAAGCATCCATAGCCCACAATCAAAGACCTCAAAACGATCTAAATTTGCACTCAGCAACCAATTTAGATTGTGGTATTCAGTTTTCTCAAGCACACATACAAATAGCAAACGATTTTTTTCCTTTTTAATCAAGATAGTGCTTTCCGTATGTCTTAGCATAGCAATGCCATACATCCTTTGAACCCTAAGAAGCTAATCTGTTATAACTATGAATCCTAGATCATTCAGTCGCCCCAAAAGTTGAGAATGTTTTTTTAATCACTCATTTAAACCCTTGATTGATGGAACGAAGTTTATAATAATTACTTCTTTGCTCTATGGTGATCCTATTAATTTCTAAACAAAAATTAGGTTTTTTTGTTTTCAAACATAGGAAAAGGAGTCAGATTTCGAAAAACAGATGGCGAATAACGCTAGCAGTTGCTAGAACTTACAAAGACAAAATCAATTTATTGTTCAGATAGAGTCTCCGACGTGAATTGCATATCCAGATCTATAAGAGCCACCGGAGGATGTCAAGTTGATTTCTGGATATTAGTTTTCGGCCAGGGTTGTGGTGTACCAATTACAAGGAGCATGAAACGATGAGTATATGGTTTTGTGTTGTTCACTTAACAACACGAGAGGGAATGAATGAGGAGTTTCGGTAACGAGAATAGGTATTCTGATCCGTTTTCCAGCATAGACTTCGTTGAGTTGTAAGATTTTTCTCATGAGCTTTGTTTACGTTTTCCTCCGATCAAGAGTCAAGTGACAGAGTTCAATCCTAATTCCAACAGAGACCATGTGGTGGTTTATGAGAATGTGGTAAGACTCCGACGAGAGAGGCATGGTTTGGAAAGGAGAGATCAGTGTTTTTTTCCGGTACACCACATAATAACGGTGGTCGATTTATTGTCGCCACGGGAGCAGTGTACCTGAACAATAGGAGATCGTGTGGTTGAGCGACATCTGGTAACTTAGGTGATGAGCTCAAATTTTCAATTTTCAAAAGTTTAGAAAACGTATTGAAAGATCTCTTATTGGGCTTAAGTTATTGGATTAAATAAAGTGGTTGTTAAACTAAATAATAGATATATTGGGCTAACTACAACTGAATTGCAGGCTTCGGGTTTTTATAAGTTTATAAGATTTTCTAAATGTTTGAACTGAAACCTATGTAGCTTTAAATAACTACCAAATGTTAATTTATCTGAATATATTATATATCCATGCGTAAATGATGTCTAAGTCGATACCATTATAGATATTCCATGTACAAATTATAAAATGAATCTAATTTAACAGATTTTTAATCACCATAGTGAGAATATACAAAACAGATCATAAGAATATTTATATGGGCTTATTAGTTTGAGATATATATATATATATATATGACTTAAGGAATATGTGGCTGTTATGTACCTAACATTAGATATAGAAACATCAAAAACTACATCGTTTGAACCAATTGCAATCAAATCTCTCTACCATCTTTTTTGCATCTTCTATTTGACCTTATGCTAGTCTTTGTATATATTATATATGGAGTTTTATAAGTTTAATTTTGCATCACAAAATTGTATACAAGAATATTTTACCAACTACCTATAGATCTTCATAATGAAATTTAATACCTATAGATCATCATAATGAAAGATTGAAAGTGATCATTAAAAAAGCCAATAAAGCTCATTTCATAACCCATCAAAAAAAACTATGCAAGTATACGTAAGATATGTGTCGGAGGAAGTTATAAAACTTACTGGAGGTTTAATAAAAAAAAACACATTCGAAATACATAGATGTTGGAGATTAATCACAAAATCTAAATTAATATGAGTTCAAAAACAATTTGAAGAAGCTAAAAGTGAAAGAAAGTTATGTTTCTTAGTCAAAATGAAGTTAATTTTGATGGTTCTATACCTAATATTATATACATGACAGCCATATATTCACTTTTCACACACACATATATATATATATATATATATATATATATATATATATATATATATATATATATATGAGAAAAGTGAATATACCCTTAAGGGTATATAAGCTTAGGTACCCAAACTCACCATACAACGTTGTTTTGTATCATATATATAAATTGTAATTGTCCAATATTCTTATAATTCAACTTCTAACTAGATTTACTTCCAAGATTTGTATAAATTTCACATTTATCTTCTTCTTACATAATTTTCATTTTCAACTATAATATATATAGCCTAGTAGGTGTTCGGCATAATTTTCACTATAATATAATATCTTCTTCTTACATAATTTTCATTTTCAACTATAATATATTTTCATTTGAAACTTTTGAAATTAAATCAAGTTAGGATTGAAGTTTAAAAACATTATGTAACACCCCGTTTAAAAAAATAAAATAAAGGTATAGAAGCCCTAAAGTCAATAATAATTGAGCAAGGCGTTAGTTTCGAGGAGTTAAAAGTCATAATTATAGAAGTTGGGGGTTAAAATGTGATTTTCGGATTAAATTGTATAGAAGTTTGAAGGTTGAGGTCCGTTTGGTAATTATTAGGACATAATATGTAAAGGATTTCGAAAGAAGGGACTAAATGGGAATTTATGGGACTTCATTTGAAGAGATTATGGGGATAGGGGGCTGTTTGGTAAATTTTGTACTTAAGTTGTAATGAATTTTAATATTAAGGGTTTAAATAGTAAATATTGGATTTACTTTGAAAGAAAAGAGAAAGGGGAGGGCTGATCTTGGCATTATGGCTAAAGGTTTGAGGAGGTAGGGTATATAGCTTCCGATAAACCCTAACCCTAGGGATTCATTCAGCCGCCACCACCTTGTGACTCTCCAGCCGCCACCTCCCTTCCACTCACGTTTCCGATGCGGACCAGGTCGCCATCTGCTGTCGGCGACACCGTGAGCGACAAGGACCAAGCGAGACCGGACTTCGAGCTGTACATGGCGAAGTGTCGGCTGCGAACGAACGGATTATCGCCGGAGAAACGAACTGGGGAGGAGCCCCGACCGTTGAAGAACGAAGCCACCGCCCTTCGCCATCTGTTAAGGCGCTAGTGGACTTAATGATATTCTAGTGGGCCTAACAGGCCCAATAAAGCCCTAATTGACCTAAAAGCCCAACAAATTGATAAATGGGCTAATATTTGGA